AGAAAAACCCTCGGAGCAATGCGACAACCAATTCAACCCCACACACAAACTAGGGCAACAGGCTGGAATCGAACCTGCGCCACATTGGTGGGAGTTGAGCGTTCTCACCACTGCGCCATCCCTGCTCCCCTAATAGTATAACTGGATAACCTAGCGCCCTCCATATTCCTTTTTTCACAAAATATTCCTACAGACTGTGCATTTCTTCATTGTCGACTTTAACGCAGTACAATTCAATAACACTGATGCAGTTTGCTCAACCCGTCAACGCCCAAGTGATCAAAAATTAATTTCTCCTTACATTATCTTTACATTCTCAAAAGGGGGCAAGCGATGAGAATAAACAAAATCAACTGGTGAACTCTTTGATCTACCATCAAATTCTCATAACATTAATAAAGATGCTTAGAAAGGGTGGTTTAGCAACCTGTAAACAGAATTCATGTTTTGAACTTGAAACTGAAATGGTTGTTGGATTTGTCATTAACTGTAGTTGATGGATTTGACCACTTAGGTTTGGTTTCATTTAGTGGTGCTCATATGGGTGCTCATCATCAAATAGCACTGTCACCTCCATATCAGGAGGGGTGGAGGCAATTTGTATTGGTGTTTGTTTTCCAAACGTTTAATATCACTCCCACCACAACCCAATGGAGACATTCCAAGATTCCACAAAAACTCCCATTTTTTGTTTTTACCCAAAATAGCGTGGGGATGGGCTCCGCTAGACCCACCACTGAAAACCGATTACTCCCACCACAACCTAATGGAGGCATTCCAAGATTCCGCAAAACCCCCCATTTTTTTTTTTTTTTTTTTTAACCCAAAATAAGGAGGGGAGGGGGGACCCTCAGCTAGATCCGTCACTGAAACCCAATTACTCTTCGACACTTCAATGAAAACCGCTCTGTTTCCATTCCTGATACATTTTAAAGGAATATCAAAATTAACCTTTATAACTTTTCCCTCGAACACAACCGCAATAACAATGACATGGTCACATTGCTAAAATTTCTTACAAATAACAGATCATTAAGGTTGACCCTGCAGCTAAATGAGGAAAATCCCTAACAAAGGTGAAGTGTTTTTTCCCATTCGCTTCGCAACAATTCTTACGAAACTTTACTTTCACACCTTTACCCAACACACAAAATGTTCGCTGCCGTGTTGCCACGATCGCTAAACGAAAAGCAAGCTAGCCAGAAGCTAGGTTTTTCCTGTTTCGATATATCCGAAACATTGTTCTTCATACCAAGAGGTCAGACCTCTCCACCGTACAGGAGACGGGTTCGTAGGCCGTCTCGTCTGTTACCCTGGCATTAAACAATTGATGTGCCGGAAAACACAGGCTAACATACATGTAAGTGCATTGAAAAGGTTAAAATCGGTAACGGATACAGTCCACAATGTTGATCATCGTAATACCAAGGCAGTCCTCCCCAGGATACGGGAAACAAGTTCATAGAACGTATTCATATGCAGGAAACACAGGTTAACAATAGTCAATAGCCAAGATAAATTGCACCTTAAAAATGCATCTTAAGTTATAATCGGACGTTCTACGACCACCATAATGAGCACACTCCATTCACACTTTGAACCAAGTCCAAGGTATAGTCCGAGAGTTGTGAACCAGAAAAGTACCAAAGTAATATTTTCTGATTTTTATGAGCCAATCAGAAAACTACACGGGTACGCATGTCTTAACGTCTGTTTGACGTCACCATTACATTACGTTGCTTAGCAACTCTGATGACGTCAAGCTCAGATTATTCTCCAATCCGTCACAAGTGGTGAGATACTCGTTTCCAGGAATAAAACAATGCATATGAAGAACATGTTTTCCATATTCATGTATCACATCCCTATTTTTTTGGGTTAATTATGAGGTCTACATAATCATCCCCAATGAAGTGCACCAACTCTTTCTGATAACTTAAATCAATTAAAACCGACATTAAGAATATTAATTTAAACATAATCATTGGAGCTACTATTAGTCTTTCTATTGGAACCAATATAATTCAAGAGCTGAACTTATTAAGTCGCAACAGTCCTGTAACAGTAGAAATTTCCCCCTTGCGCAGAGCATGGCTCGCTAATTTTTCGCTGGCTCCGCTCAGTTTTTTAGAAAGGCAGAGACTGTATGTGGTCTAGGTTGAGCCAAAAGGAAATGTTTTTTTTTTCATTTGAAGACTTATTCCCGCCCATCTAGCCTCAATACCTCACAATGCCTCCCCGTTTACACACCACTTGTTATACCTTCACCAAACAAAACAGAAAATTTGATTACAAGCAGGAGTTCGCGCTCACATCTCATTACTGACAAATTAAAGGACTTTTTAAACCTTTCTGAGTTAAGATTGATATCTTCCAACAACGTTAAAGAGTTCTTGCGTAAACGCCATTAGCTCCGCAGTGGCTTGAAGGCCTGGCGGCAAAGGCGGTGGAATGAACTGCTGAGGGGCCGCACTGACTCTAGGAACGGGGCGCATGCGCGGCAGTGGGCCGTGAGAGGCTGGTGTAAAGGGGGCAGGATTAGGGGTAGCCAAGGTTGAAGCGGGGGTTCGAGGTGGTGCTTGTCGTTGGACTGGCTCTGGTGTTTCCGACTCCCCTTCGTTGATTGTTCCCTCCTCTTCCGAAGTTGCTTCGTCTGCACTCTCGGATCCCGAACCATCAAACGCTTCTTCGTCTCCTACATCCGAAGCTTCCTCGGGTGAAGAAGGCACAGCGTCACCATCATCTTGGGGAGACTGTAAAGCACCCCCACTCACTGCAGACATTGCTCGCTCAGAGATAGTGGTGCCAGGAGCAGTACTGGAAGTCAAGGGGACCATGGTGGGAGGGTGGTTATCCATACTATCAGGGGACAACGAGATCCGTTGGGCAGACCGCATGTGCTTCTTCAGCTTGTGCGGTCCAAGGAAACCTTTGTCGCAGAGCCGGCATGTGTGGCTGTAATTACCAGTGTGAATTCGCATGTGGTCGTTCAAGTTATCCCGGCGTGCGTAACCCTTGTTACACTTTTCACACTTAAACGGCTTATCTTTGGAGTGTGTGAACAAGTGTCGCTTGAGCTTGTCATCGCGGTAGAACGTCTTCATGCATCCAGTGTGACTACGGAAGGGGCAGGTGAAGGTCGGTCTGGTATCAGGGTAGTGAATCAGCGAGTGCCTCTTCATTTTGTCTCTGCGGGCGAACGCTTTTCCGCATTCAGGACACTTGTGTTTCTTCTCCGTGGCGTGCACTGTTCTCGCGTGCGAGCGAAGATTTGCTGAAGAGCAAAATGACTTATCACACTGGTCACATGCAAATGGCCTGTCAGTTGAGTGCATGGTCTTGTGTTTCTTGAGCTGTACCGTGCTAGTGAAAACCTTGCCACAATCATCACATGGGTGCGCGTGGCTTTCATTTGCTTTGTGCTGCTCAAAACCGTTAGCGGTGAAGAAGCTTTTGCTGCAAAGCGAACACTTAAATTCCTTCTTGTGCATCTTGTAGTGTTCTTCCTTCTCGCTTACCGCGCTAAACACCGCGGGGCAGCGCTGACATTTGTACACTTTGGAGGGTGGGTTGAGATAAATTGGCACAAACACGCTAGTTGCACCCTGTTTGCGCACGCCGCTTCCCTGATGGGTAGAGGAAGGGGTGGCAGCTGCAGAACCGGAAGTCAGATGGACTAACTGTGATTCCGGGATGTGTACAGTGACAGCTTCGTCAGTTGAGGTGGAAGACTTCTTGCTGCGTGGTTCTTTCCCCTTCTCCTGATTAGCAGCTTGTGTGGATGAAGAAGATTTACGTTTCCTAGTGGTCTTGGGATGGGAGTTTTTCCTCTTGTGTCTTTTTGACGGCTTTCCTGTGAAAAAAAAAAAAAAAAAAGAAAAATTATAATAAATTAATAATACTGATATGGAAAATAAAGCAAACTAAACCTCCAGGGGCTACCCCTGACTATATTAGATGTAAATTTCTCTCAATCATGAAGCCAAATTGCTATGAGTGAAGCCTGCCAACACATGTACAAATTAATTGGCCACCTCTTTACAATATTTTACCAACAAAAATCGGTGTTTTTATAATGTCATTGAAAAAACCCTGGTGAGAGTAGGGACAGGGTGCATTTTCTTAGGTACATGTACGGGGTAAAGAGATACCCTACAAAGCTCTATACATGAAGGCTCATTTTTAGTCATTTTCATGTAAAACGTATTGCCTAATAAATAAAATGATACAGCCATAAGGTGCGTCTGTTCAAAAATATTTTAATTAGTCCCTTTGGCAAAACTAAGTGACAGATTTCCCCACCCTTTCATATACCTCAACTTGTAAAATCCCTACCCTTTATAAACCGGAAGCGAGGTTGATCCGCCAAATCTCCGCAAAATTATTTTAATTATAAAACGTGACTTTCTTAAATATTAATGATACAGTTGCCGTAACCAACAAATAAAAGCTCACCACAAGCAAACCAGTGTGAATATGAACAATTTAACATTTGGTGAGTGCCTTTTACTCCATCAACAAATTAT